GACTTACTCGACGTTTTTTTTTATTAAAAAGCGCGTTTTTATGATTTTAACGAGAAATCTCGAATAAATCGTATAGTTTAGGCAATGTTCAGTGTTTCGTTTAACCGTTGCCGTTTTATACGATTTCCTCGAGTTCTTTCCGAGAAAACGAAGTTTTACGGTTTTTATCGTAAAACTCGAACGGTAAGTCGGATCGAGATGCAACGGGAGATATTTCGGCCGTGTTTTAGAATGCGACTTTGTCGAAAGACGTAAGTTTCGAATCGGGAATGCGGGAAATCGAGATGCGGAGTGTCCGGGAAGTCTCTAGTTCGCCCATCGGCGAACTAGTCGAGCATGTTCGCCGATGGGCGAACTAGTCGAGCATGTTCGCCGATGGGCGAACTAGTTGATTACTCCCTAGTTCGCCCATCGGCGAACTAAGCCGGGCCCGGCTTAGTTCGCCGATGGGTGAACTAGTTGCGACTAGTTCGCGTTTTACGGCTTTTTCGGTTTTTTGCGGTTTTGTAAAACGATTCTCGAGTTTTATAAAACGATCTTCGGATTTCATAAAACGACCTTCGAGTTTTATAAAACGATCTTCGAGTTTTATAAAACGATTTCTCGAGTTTTATAGAACGAATTCTCGAGTTTTATAAAACGATTTCTCGAGTTTTATAAAACGATTTCTCGAGTTTTATAAACGATTTCTCGAGTTTTATAAAACGATTCTCGAGTTTTATAAAACGATTCTTGAGTTTTATAAAACGATTTCTCGAGTTTTATAAACGATTTCTCGAGTTTTATAAAACGATTCTCGAGTTTTATAAAACGATTCTCGAGTTTTATAAAACGATTCTCGAGTTTTATAAAACGATTTCTCGAGTTTTATAAAACGAATTCTCGAGTTTTATAAAACGATTTCTCGAGTTTTATAAACGATTCTCGAGTTTTATAAAACGATTCTCGAGTTTTAAAAACGATTCTCGAGTTTTATAAAACGATTTCTCGAGTTTTATAATACGATTCTCGAGCTTTATAAAACTGTTCTTTTTGTATTCTTGCGGAGAGTTTTGCCTATTAATTCCGTCGTACCGATTTTGACCCCAACAGTATGGATACTTCTAGATTAATAAAAAGAACTACTAAAAATCAGAAACAATGGTATATGTAAACTTTAAGAAAATGACTATAGATAGTAGATGACATCATCTAAATCCTTTGCAACGAGAAAAAATCTATTTCAATCCAAACTAGATTTTGACCCGCGCTTGAAAGCGCGGAAAATTTTTTTGATTAAAAGTTTATATAATTAAGTTTTGTCTTTATTTAAAGTATGTTTTGGTATAAAATCAGTAATCCAAAATTTGTGGTGATGATTGTTTTGCATTAGTTTTTAGTTTCAGTTTTTATTTTTAGATTTGGTTTTAGATTTTTGTTTTTGGTTTTTGGTTTTTAATTTTTAAGGGTTTCTAGTTTTGATTTTCAGCTTTTAGTTTGGGTTTTTAGCTTTTAGATCCTCTGAGTTAGTTTGAACTCATAATTACCAACAAACAAATCTCAAAGAATCGAACATCTAATTTAAAATTGAAAAGATGATAATTTTTATTTTTAAAAAATTGCAATAGTTTATTTTGTAAATAAACAAAACAAAAGCAAAAATAAATTGACAAATACCAAGAGATTGGTTTTTAGCTTGTCTTCTATCTTCAAACCTTTAAACAAATTAAAGCAAAAATATATGATTATTCAAATATTGAATAACTAGCTACGCTTAAGAATGATATATTAGATTTATACATATTTTCAACTAACACCATATTTAGTGACACTTTGATGTGCATTATATTATTTCTACATACTTAACACAAATTCTTCTTTTTGTTCCTCTCAAATTCAAGTCTTTTAATTTGGCTACAACCATTCTCACTTATATGTATTAAGCACTTGATTTGTACCGATTTTTTCTATATAAGAGGAACAGAAGACAATTAACTTAAATATTAGGACAAACACAAAACATGCATTGTTAATAATACCAGAGATTTTTTCCTGGGTGTAGCTCGGGATTACACAAATACTATTTTATTTAATATATATATATATATTTATTACATATTGTTGGGGTCAAAATCGGTACGACGGAATCAATTACATCCATAGATACTTTTTGACTTTACAATATCACAATAAGACACTTCTCACTTGACACACACTTTTTCATTGTTCAAAGACTAAAATACCCTATACAAAAGTAATCCATTCTTGTTACTCTCTCTTCAACAAATATTTAAAATTAATAATTATGAATTAAAAAGTACAAATAAAAGGAAATGAGAAATGGTGGATTCTAAAAGGTGTCACGTGTGACCACCATTTTGACCAGAAATATGAATTATTTTCTTTTTTTCCTTTTTTTTGTAACACTATTTCCTTCTTTTTTAAAATTTAATGTTTATCAATTATCTTCTTTTTCACAGTATACTAGTTGATATGTGTATGTATTTTCTTTCAAAAAAAGAAGTTTATATGTTTGTGTGTATAGGTCGTCTATAGATTAGTTTTGTTACATGCTTCTCAAATATTAAAACACAAACTTGTGTTTTCATTTTATAACGAGTGAAAGATGGTAATTTCTCCAAGTTTTTTTATTTGTCCACGAAATATTTCTCCAAACTTATATGTAATATATGTGTTCACAATGCATTAGTCTAAATTATTTTTTTTATCTGTCCACGAAATATATATCCACATATTATATGTCCACAAAACACATAATTCATATATCTGTTTTGTTTTGTGTATTGATACATAATTGTGGACGGTTATCCAAAGTGTTCATATTCACAACATATATATCCACATATTATGTGTCCACACAACACATAATAAATCTGGTTTGAGAGATTAACAATTTGGGTCACATTTTGACTTTGTCCAACACAAATAGACACTTTGGGCTACTCAGGCACTTTATTTGTGTCGAAATACTAGAAAGCCCCCACGATTGTTAACTAGAATTGGGTTTGGTTTGTTTGTCTAATTAGGTCTTTAGGTTGGTTCGAAATTCATTATTCGAAAGACCTTTTGACTTCTTTTTACCTTTTTCCTCGTATTTTTGTTCCCTATTTTTCCATTATGGTATCTCTTTTCTAATTGCCGGCGATTCTGCAGAAGAAACGAGAAGGAGACGATCTATCTAGTTTCCGGTGATGACGTCGAGACGAAGGCGAGAAGGAAAAGACCCTATTTGCGGTGAGTATTAGATGTAGTGTTTTTTATTGTAAATTGTATCTTTCTTACATTCTAGGGTTTTGCGCCGCCGTGTTACCTTTGCGTTGTCTTCCTTTCATGGAAGTGGCGATTTCCCCTTTTTTTTCAACCGTGGTTTATTTTCCTTCGTTAGGGTTTCCATTTTTGTGTGATAAGATTTTTCCACTGACTAATTGAAATCATTTAAATAGAGGACGAGACCCCGGCGAGTGGCCCTGATGATAGACTCCCTCGGAGGTTATTCGCGACTGATCAATACCCTAGTCGGAGGCTCAACGTCTACTCAGCGCTTGACCTACTGTTGGTGGTCAGGGATGTTTTGATGGGAACACCCGAGATGGATAAGCTGTTTGGGTCCTGTTTTGGGAAATTGTACAAGTTACCTGTCCGCAGATGCAGCTACTCGTCGGTTATGATTCACGCGTTGTTAGCGAGACAGGTAGTGACTAAGAAGAAGTATGAAGCATGGCCAGTTTTCGGTGGTGAACCTTTCCGGTTTTCGATGATAGAATTTGGGAACGACACTGGTTTGCCTTGCGGAGAGTTTGAGGATGGATATGTTGTTGATTTCCAACCAACGCACAAAGAGGAAGACTTTATGTACTGGGATAAGTTGTTTGGTGGCAGGCGTGGCATCACAATAGCTGATGTGGTGAAAATGGTTAAAGAAGACACTACACTGACGCCTAACAGAAGATTCAGGTTGTGCTTGATAATAATTGTTGATGGGGTGCTAATTGCATCAACACAACCAGTACATCCGACAGTGAAGCATGTGAAGTTGCTTGAGAATCTGGAAAAATTTCTAGCATTTCAGTGGGGGCGTGAATCTTTCTACTGGACTGTGATATCAATGATACCCGGTAAGAAGATACTTGGGAAATGTGATGACCCAGAGGCTGAGTTCTGTGCTAAGCTGAGTCAGAAAACCATAAAAATGTCTGGATTACCTTTAGCTCTCCAGTTGGTTGCATATGAAGGGATACATCAGTTGTTGGCCCGTTTAGGAAGGAGTGACGATCTTAAGCTGATAGATTGTGAAAGATTACCACAGCACACGGGGTTAAACCTTGTTGACGTTTTGGGGCGGAGCACCATGAGAAGTTATAAGCGATGTAAAGGTTTTTTTTTGTTTTATGATTAATCGGAGTACAACTCCATATTCACGTACATGATGGTGTACATGTGTATGCTTATTGGTAGAGGTAGTACATGTGTACACTTATTCCCGCGAATAGTGCTGTACATCGGTACATTATTAGCGAACTGCTACCTGTGTACATTTAAGCGTGGAGCTATTAAATTTTAACCAGTAACTTCTTAGCTTCTCAAAATGTTTGATATGTGTTTTCTGTTCATTTGTAGTTAATTGTTCAGCCTAGGATGGATGTTGGTGAAGACACTCCCGATGGGTGGATGATGAGGTATTTGACAGGAGAGTTAGTTATATGGTGGGGCTAATTGACACCGGTCACAGGTTTAGGAAGTCTGACTGGGCAGGAGGTGACGGTAAGGAGGTTGTGTACAACCACGAGGCTGAGAAGACTGCCAGAAAAAGGAAGCGGGATGAGGCGAAGTTGATTAGAGGTGATGCTGAAGGTCGTATTTTGAAGCAAAAAAGGGTCAGAAATTACTATGTGCGGGAAGATGTGGTGGATAATGAAGGCAGTAAGGATAACGAGAAACGTATTGCTGAGCTTGAGAAAACTGTGGCCTGGCTGAAGAAAAAATTATTAAGAAGTAAGAGGATGGGGCAAACACCCAAGAAAGTTGTTTTAGGGTGTGTGAAAACACTCAAGAAAAAGAAGAAGCAAAGTGTAGCGATGGTATCGGTTGGCAATTCGGACGATGTTAACAGAGAAGTGAATGATGATAATTTCGGTGAAAAGAGTTTAACAAATGTGGGCGTGGAATTTGAGAGAGTTGAAACTTTATTTGTAGCTTTTGTGTTTCCTGGCGGGGAAGATGTACGAGACACAGAATCCTTTGGAGTGGGTGGTAGCAGAGATCGTTTGGTTGATGGTAAAACGGTGGAAGGGAGTGTCAGTTTCCCGGAAGATGGTGAAACAGTGGTAAGAGGTGTAGAGGAGGCAGTAGTAGATAATTCTGGTGGTGGGAGCTTGCTGGAGGGAACTGAAGGAAAGGCTGCTTTTGAGGAGAAGGAAGGATTGGATTTGAAGGCTGAGGACAGTTTGTCAGAGCAACCGGAAGAAGTGCTTGTAGCTCTGAAAGAAGGAGATGGTGTACCCAAGCAGTGGGTAGAGGAAGGAGTGACTGGTTACCGTGGAGCTGTACTGTACAGAGCATAGCAAAAATTACTTTGTCAGTGAGGATGATGTAAGATGTTGGTATTTTAATTTTGCGTTGTGATGCATGTATTTGAAAATTTTATTCTTGACAGGGAAGCAACAGCGTTGGGAATGAGCAGGTTTCTGGGAGCCGCTCAGATGTTGAGGTGATCTGAATAGTAGTGTCTTTGGAATTGTTTTGTACATTGTTTTGATTTTTTGGCTTGTTTTGGCTACAGGGCAGCAATGGTGGGAAAAGCATTGAAAGATCAGTTGATGATGTACGTGAATGATTTTTTTTTTTTTTTGGCAGATTGGTTTTGTTTTGTATTTTTTTAAAAAAAATTTGGGGTTGTAGGAACTGGTTGGACTGGACAAATTGGTGGGTGCACTTGTTAAGGAACATGGTAGTGATTTTGGAGAAGTTAATGTAGGTGAAGTAATTGTTCGTGTTAGCGAGGTAAACATGTAAAATAGGATGTACTTGAAGGATAGGGGGTGTACACGGGGGTGACTGGGCGATGTACATCGCCAACATAGTGTACGTGTGGGGGTTTTGTCAGTAGAATGACTGATTTTGTATATTTCTCAACGCAGTTGAATGATGCCGCGGGGGGAGGCACATCAGGAGGTGGTAGGACTTTGGAGGATGAGGTATTTGTAGATGGTGTTTTAAAAGAGAAGGAGGTATGTGAGAAATTCAATGTAGATTTGTCATTAAAAGGGATTGTTTTAGGCCGCTAATGCAGCCTGTATGACAGGAGGTTGATGTTGGTGAAAAGGTTGGTGGCGAAGAGAATTCGGTGGGAGATGTCTTGACTGAGAAGGTATCTGGTGTACTTGTATTAATGTTTTTTTTTTTGGACCTATGTTGATTTGTGGTTATATTTTTAAAATTTCACGTTGACGAGTCAAATATTAGTGGGAAAGAGATGGTGACCTATTTGAGCGACTCATCCCCGTGTCCAAGGAGTGAGAAGCACAAGCCGATAGAGTTGGAAGCAGGTTTAGCGGCTTTGTTGTTGGCGAAGGCTCCATATAGCTTAGGCCAGATTGTCCCAGCGGCTGAGGACGTTGATTTTGGGTACTTTGAGCAAGTGTTGCTTTCAAACCCTAAAGTGTAAGTTGATAATTGTTTTTGAAGAATTTTTGTATAAATGATGCTTTGAGTAATAGGTTAGTTGGGTTTGCAGATTGCATTTGGGTGCTGGGAACTTTGATCTTGATAATCAGTTTTTCCTTGACCTAATAACTCCCCGAAAATGGGTGTCCAGCAAGGTATGTTAATTGAATGTTTTTTGGTCATTTGAATGGTGTTGTTACATATTAAATGGGTTTTGTGTATAATGGCAGCATATGGAGGTGGTGGTTGGCTATATCAGTGAGAAGCATGCTGCTGTGTTGAGGGAAAACAGAGCAATGTTTGTATCACCTTGGTTCATTAAGAAGTTGGCTGGGAAATCAAGGGCGTTTAAAGCAGCAACTTACAAGGGGAGAGTATTCTCGGATCCCAAACTGGCAGGTTATTTAACGGTAGAAGGGAAGAGACTTGGGGTAGACATAGACAGTGTGTACACTCCTATGTTTTGGGGGACCAACCATTGGGTTGTATTGCGCATAGACAGTGTGTACACTCCTATGTTTTGGAGTGTGCTGGTATATGATCCAGACCGTAGTTTGAGAGGAATGGATGCTGTGATGGGTTTGATGACACCAATAGCGCAGATGCTCCCTTACTTAGTACGAAAAGTATGCCCAGCTGAGTTTCTGCATGGGGTTGGGCTTCAACCGTTTGATGTCCAGTTGATGGCTGATGGTTATCAGAACACACGTAGCGGTGATTGTGGACCTGTGGCTATGAAGTTCATGGAGTTAGCTGCAACAGTTGTTGAGGAACCAGAGATGGAGGACCTGACTGATGAGTTGGTTGACATTTTTAGGAAACAATATGCGATGGAAGTGTACAAGGATTGGATTGTTCCCTTATACATGGATGATCTGAACTAGTAGGGAGTTAAGTGATATTGTTTTTTTGATGTTGTGTAGTATTTTAATCCGTGGCGGCAGTATGTGGGGTAGTATTTTGTTATCGGATGTGTAATGTAAGTGAAGGAAGCTGTAAAACTCTAATATATGTCTAAATTGTGTTTGACACTTTGTATTGTGTTTGGCCGTTTGTATTGTGTTTGAATTAGATGGATTGTAAACTTTAGCATTTTGTGGCAAAGGCATGACAATTAGAGTGTTTGTACACCGAAATTTGATGTCTAATACTGTTGGGGATTTATAGACATCTTCTTACATAGGGCATGACCATCAGCTATAACGGTAAATAGGTTGATTGATTAGTAATGAAATGCATTTTAGTACATATTGATAGCCAGGTTCCCGAAATACAAGGTTTCGAAAGTACAGATTGTAGAACCACAGAGCTTAGAGGAGGAAGAAGTTACAGAAAACAACAAAAGCAGGAACCTAATTTATGAGAATTTCACATGGCCTAATTAGAAGAAGTAGGCTACTATGTACATAATTTATACATGCCAAAAAACAGAACAACACAGGCAACAATGTTCTTGAACCTTTTAAGTTCGCTTTGGACATCTTTAATTTCCTGTTCGAATAGAGTGATCTCTGTTTTGAGAGCACCCACAACACCGCAGCAAGCATGGGTTACATTTGCAATAGTTTCTATCTTAGTTTGGCAGACCTGCAACACCTTTTCCGTCTCCACTGAAGCCCTTTGAATACCATCAATATTGTGTTTGATGTCATCAATTTCCTCAACGACACACAGATCTGTCCATTTGAAGAGATGGTGAGGATTGTTCTGCGAGAAGAAGAAAGGCTAAGAATCAGAGAGTTTGTTGAGTCGTTTCAGTGAAGGGTCGTCAACTTAAGACAATAAAAGGGTAATCTAATGAAAAATCATAGGCATACCTCATTCCCATGGGGACAACTGTGAAATAGTCGCCCAGGGTTGGTACTTGTTTTAGAGGTGCGGCGGGAAACACGGGCGCCACAAGGGCAGTGCGTCGGGAACCCTCTGTCTACCATCTTGATTTTTTGTTTTTGGTTCTGATGGTGTGTGTTCTTTCGCAAAGAAGATGAACCCTAATTTCGATTTTGTGTGGCAGTTTCTCGATTTATTAAGAAGAAGAAACTTTTTTTACGGGGGCCAAAAACGTGGTCGTTTTAATGGTGAACGCCGGATGTGGTAGTTGCTACACATGTACGGTCACGTAAGTCGTCATTTGTGTGTACATAATAACTGGTTTTTGAAGACGTACACATGTACACCCCTCGACATTTGGTTAGTCATGTCGTAATTACGTGTACCTAATAACTGTAATTGATGTGTTGTACACATGTACGCTGTTTGTATTTGTGAAAATTTCAAAACAATACCAAATAAGCGTCATACTTCTTCCAGAAAGATCAACCAATACATATTCATAAGTTTTAGTGAGGAGCAACACAAAAAAGAACCAAAAAAAGTTGCAACCAATAAACTGATCCCGGGTGAATTCACTATCCAAAAGAAGGTGCATGTGGATATAAGATTCACCACAGTTAGATTGACACCACA